TGGCCTCCAAGGGCACCTGTACTCACATGCACTCATACTCACACACACAGATACACAAGGTTAAAAACATTAAAGACTGTCATATTTCTACCATGAGTATTTTTTTTTTTAACGAGAGTTGATTTTTGATCATCGGTTGATTGAGGCTACTATTGACATTTCCTGGGCAAGTGTCAGCATAACAACGTTATAGAAATTTGGGCATAAACTTTGGAACGAAAAATTGATCTGTGCCAGATGTGAGTCTCACATGCCCAACGAGGCAGTTACAAATTTGGAGAAGCGATACATAATTATTCAAACCACCGACCTGTCTCTGTTTTACATGCCCATGTGTTTACCGCCCAGTTTAGTGTGCTCTAAATTCCTTAGGTGTAAGGTTTTGCAGGTTACCTTTGCTCAGAACTGTTGCTGGTTTGAGACATGGTCTCTTTCTGTAGCTCAAGCTGCATTCAAACCCACAGGCTTGTGCTACCATGCCCATCAGAGCTTTTAAGAAGTTGTTTTCTGGAAGCCCTACCCCTTCGAGAGGTGGGAGCCACCACGGTGAACAAATATGCGGAGATACGGGAAAGATAGAACAATGGAGCAGGATGCGCACTGTGGAGAGAGGCGGAACTGGACACACGATGGTGATGACAGGCGGCTGAGGTGAGCAGTGGAACGTGTCGTTGCCCAGTAGAGACAGTGGTGCAGGATGCGGTAGCCTGGAGCTTAAGCACACGCAGACTCAGCCCCCGAACACGCTGCCCGATGCATGAACTCGACCTCCTCGAAGGACCGCTGTGGTCTGTGATGCCACCAGAGGCCATGCTGGTGTATATGGTCCGTGCTGCTTGCTGTACTGGGCCATGATGAAGCCCACACATGGGTGTTCACAGTCTGTGCCAGTGACAGAAGCCATGATGATGTGTGTGGTCTGGGCTGCCTCTGAGGGTCTTGTCTGGATCTGTGGTATTACTACAGCCAGGGTCTGTGTTCATGGTGTGTGCTGTTGCCAGAAACATGAGGAAGCTCTAGCTGACTATAAAGAGCAAGGAAACTACTTTTGCAGTGATATCGATGACTGCAGACACACAGCTGGGAAAGAGGGACATGGACACCCCCTACCCTGCCAAAGTAACAGCTGAAACAGGAAGCCATTAAAGAGAACTCTTAAAAAGTGTGATAAGGATGCTGAAGTGTAGCTCCCCACGATTGATGGTGGGGGTACAGGAGGGGAAGGACTCAGTCCTATGTAAGGGGCAGACCATGGAGAGTTTGACCATGCTCTAGTGAGTATATAGATAACACAAATTGGACTTGGTTTTTTATTTATTTTTCTATTATTTTTATTTGGGGGGGTCGCAAGGGTGGGGGAAAAGACATGGGAGGACCGAGAAATGATTGCGATCAGAGTGCATGATGTGAAATTCCCAAAGAATCAATACAAACAATATTTTTTAAAAAGTTGTTCATTATTTTGGAAGTTATACAGTTACAACACTGCTCAAAAGCCTTTGTTGTCTACAGTGGCACAGTCGCCTTGGTTTGTGTTCCAGCTGATGAACTGAAATGCAATTGTGTTTAAATACAGACCTGGTTATTTCACTACATCTTCTAATGTACTTATTCCCAAGCATTTACATATTGGAACACACACTATTTTATACCAACCATTCTGTTTGTATTTCTAATTTATATTATTCTTGAGGTGTGGGCATGGGATGTATATGTATATACATGTTTCTGTGTATACATTGGTGTGAGTGTGTATGGAAGCTGGAGTTTGATATTAGGTATTTCCTTCTGTCACTTTCCATTTTGTTTTTGAGACGTGGTCTCTCACAAAGCCTGGATCTCATTGATTCAGCAAGACAGGTTGGCCAGGAAGCACTAGGGACCTTCTTATTTCCACCTGCCCAACGCGGAATGATAGGTGGGTTGTGCCATGGATGGCTTCTTACATGGAGCCTGGGGATCCAAACTCCTCAGGCTTGTTTACCAAGAACTTCACCAACTCAGTTTCTCCTCACACCCTCTAGTTTATAATACCCTCCAAAAATTATTTAAATTATAATTATTGTTATCATCATCATCATCATCATCATCATCATCATTATTCTGTTTGTGGTGTGTATGTTTGTGTGTGTGTATGCACACGCATATGAGGGTGCACGCACATGCCTTGGAACACATATGGAAGTTAGAAGACAACTTGTGGGGTTCAAGTCCCTCTTTCTACCATGCAGGCCCTCGAGATCTAACTCAGGTCATCAGGCTGAGGCGTTAGTGCCTTAGTCCTCCAAACTATTTTGCGAGCTCTCATTTATATTTTTCTTAAGAAATGACATTAGCTTAAGAAAGTCAATGGAGTATATATATTCTATTGACTATAAATATTAGTTTAGGATTTAACAAAACGTTTGTTGTAGAATGGCTTGGGACCTGACGGGCTAGTGAAGCATTGCTCAAAAGCTGCCAGAGAAGGCAGGGGTCAGCAATGTGGGCGGTGGCAGACGCCCATCGCCACACCATTGTTGCCCTCCCTGACTTGAGCGAAGGAAAAGTACAACCACTATTTAGGCCAAGGAGAGCCAAAGAGGGATGTGGGATCTTCTGGGGTTGACCGCAATGCCCTGATGCAAGAGTTTTTGTCTTTGGTTTTTGAAACAGAAGCTTTGGAATTCATAATACCAGATGATCTGAAAGAAAATTCAAAACAAAACCCAGAACCTCCCGGGCTTCTCAGTCAACAGGGAAGGAATTTCATGTGCCGAGGAGGAGGCAGAGTGAGCCGATGTCAGGCGGGGTCAGACAATGTCTTCTTTCCTCTGCAGACTTAACAAAGTAGATACAAAGCTGCACATATGGAGAGCATGGGCCAACATTTGTTTCTTTGCATGGAAAGGCTTGATTTTTTTTTTTTTAAATCTTGAAATTTTCCTGCCTGCAACAACGCCTACAACCTAACATCCTGCCTAAATGAACTTGGAGAACATCTCATTTCATGAAATAGACCAGACACAGAGGGGCAAAATACTGTATGAGTCAAAAGGGCAAAGGTCAAGGGAAAGGAAATGGAAGACAGGCTGCCAGGGCTTGGCAGAAGAAGAGATGCCGTTGATTGCTTTATTAGATTAATGAAAAGTTTAGGGTGTAATAGTGGTGATGGCTACACAGCGTTATGAGTGTACTTAATACCACTGAATTATACACTTCAAATGACTGCTGGAGACTATATTATGTATATCTTATCAGAACAAGTTAAATTAAAGACTAAATCTTTCCTCAAAAAAAGAACTTAACTTCCTAAAACAAATCTGTTCCTTCATCAAGCAGACTTTAAATCTTTCTTATTGCATTCCTCTTCAGACTCTTTGATTTGTGCCATAAACACCATTTTCCTGTGTGTTTGAACAATAAAGTCCTGTGAAGGAAACTTCTCCAACTTCTCCATCAACTGACTCCCATATCTTCAAATGCTCTTTTCAAAGAGAAGCAAAAAGGATGATTTTCTGACGTACTCGGAAGTCTATCAGTCCCCAATCATGTTTATTTACTTTTTATTTCACGTGCATTCATGTTTCACCTGCATGCATGTCTGTGTGAAGGTGTTGGGTCCCCTGAAACTGAAGCTGCAGACAGTTATGAGCTGTTATGTGGGTACTGGGAATTGAAACTGAATCCTTGGGAGGAGCAGTCAGTGCTCTTAACCACTGAGCCATCTCTCCATCCTCTCCAGTCACATTTAAATGATGAGGATGGTTTGAGTTTCACTTTCCTGACTCAGCTAATCTTCGGAAGCAGGTTGGTTTCTTTGGGCATCTGGCGGTGCTCATGGACCCATGCACAGGACCATCTTTAGACCTTCTAAAAATTTTTTTTAAACTGAATGCACTATTAAAAGAATTTGTCACTTTACAGATAAATTTTGCTTACAGACACTTTTCTTACAAGTGGATTTAATGACATACACAGTGGATCAAGAAGGTATAAATTGGTATGGGGTAGCTGGATCAGTGGGTAAGAGCACTTAGACTTGTTCCACAGGATCCAGGGTTTGGTTCTCAGCACATACCTGGTGGCTCACAACTGTCTATAGCCTCAGTTCCAGGGGATCTGACCCCTCTTCTGACCTCGGAGGGCTCCTGCACACTCATGGCACACGTACACATACTTATCACACCCAGAGTTATGGGCCATTTCCCCTGTCATCTCCTCACCAAGCCTGACTCTGAGGCACCATTTCGCTAGCCCTACCTATACTTAAAGTCAGGGCTGTGGAGAGTTCCTTCCTTCCTTCCTTCCTTCCTTCCTTCCTCCCTCCCTCCCTCCCT